TAAAACCTTTCATGACTACACCTCCGGTTCTTCGAATTGTGGATCCTCACCGTCCGTTCGAGCTTATCACCGGCGTTAACGATCTGGTAGTTGGCGCAATGTTGTTACAAGACTTCGGCAAAGGTCTATAATCCATCGCCTACGAGTAACGGAAGCTGAACCAGGCCGAGCGAAATTATCTTGTCCACGACAAGGAGTTACTCACCATTGTTCACACTTTCAAGGTTTGGCGCTGCTACCTGACTGGCGCGGACGTGACAGTCTGAACTGACCACAAATCGTTACAATTCATCAGCGCCCAACCGACACAAAATCCCCGACAGATCCGCTAGCTCGACTACATCGAGTCAAATTTCCATTACAAGGTCACATAGAAACGAGGGGTTAGCAACTTCGCTGACGCACTGACCCGCCCCTCGGTCCACACCGCTGCCGTCCTAATAACCCAAACTAATCCACTTTTAACTGACTTGCCAGCCGGTCCAAGCGGCAACGGTGCGATTTTTGTCGTCGTTAACGGATTGACCAAAATGACCCACTTAGCCGCCTGCAAAACGACAATTACAGCCAAGCAGACAACGAAAGCGTTTCTTACAAGCATCGTGCGACTACACGTCATTCCTTGGGCAATCATCAGCAATCGCGATCCACACTTCACGCCCAACTTCTGGAAAAAAAATATTTGGCAGCAGTACGGCACACGTCTGCATCTGTCCACGGCATACCATCCGCAATCGGACAGACAGACTGAACGCACCAAGCGCTGCTGCACCTAGCAGCACAGCGTGACCACGAGCTGCACTACCTCGACTTCTCCATACTGCACAAGCAGGTCTACCTACGCCGTTCGCCGGGGTTCAGCGGCATCTTCGCCTCTGGGACTGAGTGGCTCCTCCGGCGCCCAGTTTAGTGACTGCGGCAGGCACCCCGTGAGTGGCACGACACGCTGCATGCTACGTTAGCTGACTTACAGTTCTTCCGTCGTGTGCGGACCCTTCACTCTTTGTCCGTTCATGACAGACCCCGTTCTACATCCTTGTCTACGTAGACGACCTGGGATTTGCTACTGCAAACAAAGACGCTCTGGCCTCCGTGAAGGCTGAGCTGCTGAGGAGACACACCTGCACTGACCTAGGAGAGCTGCGTCGCTACCTTTGGCTGCATATCTCCACGGACAGAGCAGCACGCACCATCACTCTCACACAGTCTCACTTGGTGCGCCAGGTCCTTCAGAGGTTCGGTCTTCAGTTCTCCTCCGCGCAGCCCACACCTCTGCCAGTGTATCACAAGCTCTTGGCTCCAGTCCCTGAGGACTCAGTAGAGCCTAGTAGTCCGTACGAAGAGTGGGTTGCCTCATATACGTGATGACTTGCACTCGTCCAGATCTCGCATACCCTCTCAGCATCCTTGCTCGCTTCGTCGTGACTGGCAGACACCGACCACAGCACTGGTCGGTAGCTAAGAGGATTTTGCGTTATCTAGCAAGTACATCGGGCATGGGGCTAGTGCTAGGAGGACGCAGGCCAGTGGTCCTTACTTGGCACACAGACGCTTCGTGGGCCGACGAAACTGAGACGCTCAGGTCCTGTCAGGGCTACTGCTTTAGCCTTGGTGCAGGCGCTGTCTCGTGGAGGTCCACCCACTTGTTGTCTAGTCTACAGTCTAGCTGCGAGGATGAGATCTATGTTGGTGCCATGGCGGCACAGGAGCTCTGTTGGCTAACGTTCCTGCTCACAAGATACAAGGAGTGGTGCTGTTACTCAGACTAGACCAAGCTGAGTACAGAACCGCTGATGGTCACAAGGCGGCACTGCCTTGGTGAAGATATTAGCGGTGTTGGCCTCTGTGGCCACGTGTACTACTCAAGCCTGGCAGCGCTGCTGCAACTCACACAGCAGGGTGTACCGCAGCTGGATGTGCTTCGCCCTGCCCTCAAGTCGAGCCTTTTGACACAGGAGGATCATGGCCCTGCTGTTAGCAAACAAGACCGGGGCAGACCTAGGCTACTCACCTAAGTCTGGGAGCAAGAACGTCTGCCAGCAAAGCTCCTGAGCGGCCATGGCCCCAGCGTAGATCTCTGCCTCACAATAGGACTGAGCTACAGACGACGACCTGGTGGACCTCTACGAGACTGCACCAGCACCAAGCCTAAAACAGTAGCCTTGAGACGATCTGAGCGTCTCCATGTCGTCAGCCTACGACACGTCTGTGTGTCCAGTGAGTTCCACTGACTCCCGTCCTCCTAGCACAAGCCCCAAACCTGATGTACTCGTCAGATACCGCAGTACCTTCTTGGCAGCCAACCCGTGGACTTGTCGGTGCCTGCCTGTAACAACAAAGCGAGCCGGGAGATTGAGAGGGTACCCTAGATCTGGACGAGTGCAGGTTATCAGGTACATGATCCCCCCCACCAGCTCTACGTATGGACCACTAGCCTTGTCCGACTGAGCCGAAACAGGAGCATAGAGCTTCCGATCCACAGGCACAGGGGTGGGATGTGCTGAGGAGAATTAAAGACTGAAACTCTAGAGGATGTGCCACACCATATGGGACCGCGAGAGTGTGATCGTGAGAGCGGCACGGTAAGGAGAGATCTCCAAGCCCAAATAGCGCCTCAGCTCCCCCAGGTCAGTACAGGTGTGTCTTCTAAGTAACTCGGCCTTCAATGAGGCCAATGCGACTCTATCAGGAGTAGCTAAGATAAGATGGTCTACGTATACTAAGATGTAGAACAGTGTTTGAACTGTGCGAACAAAGAGAGAGGGATCAATAGAGGACGAAAAGAATTGCAGCTCAGCAAGAGTGGTGCGAAGCGTGTTGTACCACTCACGGGGTGCCTAACAAAGGCCGTAGATAGGACGGCGCAAGCTCCACTTGGACCTAGGTGGGAAGGAGCTAGAGTAGCCTAGAGGGCACCGGAGATAGATCTGGGTTACAGGCCAGTGTGGTGGTGCTACATGCGTCAGCTGTGGTGGAGGAGTCTACTAGTGCAACGCGGACAGGCGCAGGAAGCGGGGTGACAGCAGTACTGCCGCGAAATAAACAACGAGACGTGCCAGAGTCTAGGATAAAGGAGAGGGCTGACGTGGCAGGGCCTAGTGAAGAATCTCTAATAGATCCTACGCCTGATGCTGCAGGGGAGTCTACGTATGACGCAATAGGGGATCCTAGATTACACACATCAGTGGCTGCTAGACTACAAACAGGAGGATAACACAATAAGAACCAACAATACAAGAAGCATAAAAATACATAACATACAAGGCCAAATTGATCTGAATCATATCCATATCAAATATAGGAACCCTACGACAAAGCAAGACATGCCAGGCGGGTACCTACACCAGCGGGCCGAAGTGACGGCAGTAGAGGTCATCCAGGCGGCGGAAGCAGCGAACGGCAGTGTGCCCCGCGCGCCCGCACACCTAGCCCGTCTGCGGGCCGGTCAATAGCCGGTACGTGCATGTCACTGCGCCTCTAGAACCACCAGCACCCTAGCTTACAGAAGAACCACGCGACCCCCAGGGCACCGACTGCCCTGGGCCCCAACCCCCATGGCCTCCACCACGACCACCATCCCCAGTGCCCGCCAGCCCCCACGGCAGGTGCGGCTGCTAGTGCTGCTGCTGCTCAGTCCCTGACTTCGACTGACCACCCTCTCCGTCCATCCCTACACCCCCTCCACCTGCTGCTGCCGACCCCCCACGACCCTTGCCCCCCTTGCCCTTGCCCTTGCTGCCAGAGGAGCGGCCGGGGGCAGAGGCAACCGCAGCAGTCTCGGCAACAGTGGCGGAGGCAGGAGGGGCAGTCACCAGGGAGGGAGCACTGCTCTGAAAGATAGGGACTGACGGAGGGGAGGTAGAGAAGCAATCAAGGGTGAGCTCAGAGGGGTGACGAGCAAGGAGCGTGTCGCGGGCAGGGGCAAGGTGGTCAGAGAGGCGGGTGACAAGGAATTAGATAGTGACGAAGTGGGGGGTGGGGCGAGCGCTAGCTGGGCCTCAATGTTGGCCGCATGCTAGCGGGCCTCGAGGGAGCGCAGGCGCTCGACTAAGTCTGCTACAGTGTTGAAGGCACGTCAGGTCGGGGTGGAAGAAAGGGAGGAAGAGATGACCAAGAGTGGCAGACGAGAGGATGGAGTACCTTGCGAGGATAGCCAACCAGATGGCGCGGGCTGACGCATGACTCACAAAGTGGGAGTGCTCGTTAACCGGCTGACACCTGAGGATGGCGACACGAGCAGTGGCATCGCGGGACGCTTAGACAGAGTAGGCGGAACGAGCAGCAGCGTGCACAGCCTGCTGCGCAGATGTCGCGTCAGCAGCAAGAGCGCTCAGGCAGGGCACAGAAGGGAGCTCACCAGTAACGTGAGCGTCCAGGGACTCGTCGTCGACGTGCTGACTCGTGAGCTGCAGGAGAACCGCCTACTGCCAGGCGGCGAAACCGACCGCCCGCCCCTCCTCCTCTCTAATTTCGCACCCCGTGGTCTCGAAACCCCCCCCTCCCCTAGTGTTCCCCTCGTTTTGCACGCCAGCCAGCCGGCCAACGAGTCGCCTAGCCACCTCTCTAGCCCTGACTATGTTGACCACATTTCGCGTCAGATTCATCTGACGAATCATTCCATCACACGAAATCGACCCCCGATCTTGCGATTCACTGGAGATCTAGTCAGACGAGAGACCTGATGGCCAGGATCCGCCCTGCTAGCCTGCGCGCCGGCAAACTGTAGCGATCCTTCTGCCTGGCTGACGCGTCAATCGACTGTGAATCAATTTTTGCGAGACGGCTCTGGTTGTTCCTGTTTGGGAGCGTTCCATTCGTTTGCAAATCGTCCAAGCAGCATCTTCATGCTTGTTTCAATACTTTTCAACGCACCGTGCTATATATGTATATATATATATATATGTATATACACACACACACACACAAAAATCCAAATACACGCACCCCCCAAATTTGGACTATTATCCCTAAACGCACCTAGGCGCGTATATCCGGGTGAATACGGTATGTGTAGACATAACTAAATGTTCTGTGGACAATATCTCCATTTCGAACAGTCGGAGCTCGGCATCTAGTATCATAAATGTTGGGCTGAGAAAAGCCCTTAGGATCTTTCCAGAGACTAAGTCCCAGTTGTAGAATGAGACTTGAGTAGTGCAGCGGAAGTTGAGCAGTTGAACCCTTGTACTAGTATATGAGAACAAGTGATTGATTAAAGAGACAAGCATACAGCAATATATAGAAAAATAGGAAAGTAAAGCAGTTGTAGAATACAGTTGCAGGAGCGGTTATCGAGTCGCACAGTGTTATGAATAATAACTGAGAGTGCGCGGAATAATAATGACGAGTACAAGAATGCTAGCCTAGCATTATATAGCGAGAGTTCTAGCTAGGCGACGAAGCCGGAAGGCTAGGTTGGGTACAGGCGCGGTCGAAAGGTTCGGAGGCGGCGAGGGCGTGCCTCGGGGTCGCGTCGGAAACGGACCGAGCCTGGTGTTCCGAGAGTTAGGGCGTACGCGATTGCAGTACAACCCGGTAAGGAATAAAATTCCTTACACTACCCCCCCCCTTAAGGAAGGTGACCAATATCGGGAACGCCTTTTCGGGTCAAATAAGATTTGAGCACCGAGTGTTCTTGAATCGAGTCGGAAGGGACCCATGTGTCGTCTTCACTTGTACGATCGACCCAGCGGACAAGAAAATCCACGTGTCGTCCTGTCGAGTCGAGGCGAACGCGATGACTTAAAAGTCGGAACGGCTCAAGCGTGGGTTCAGCCAGTGGGCGAACACTTGGGGCGGCCGCTGGTCGTGCAACTGCAGACGTGCTGGCAACGTAAGGACAAAGGAGGCTGACGTGGAAAGCGTCGTGAATGCGCCACTCGTCCGGGAGTAATAACTTCGCTGTGACAGGTGTCACCATCTTGACAATACGAAAGGGGCCACAGAATCGCGGGCGGAGTTTTGACGGCAGGGGCAATCGAAGGTTCTTCGTGTCGAGCAGGACTAGTTGCCCAGCAGTCATCGTGATATCGCGGCGATGAAGATCTGTATAGCGTCGAGCAGTGGTGTTGGACTTGCGAATGAATTCGACCGCCTTATCCCGGGCAGCTTGTAAACTGGTCACGAACTGCTGGGAGCGTGCCACGGGGTTGTCGATGTGGGTAGTCGTCGGGACGGTCGGATCCATCCCGTAGTTTAGGAAAAACGGCGAGTGAGTAGTCGTCGCAGATGGGGCATTGTTGTAGGAAAATTCCAGCATGGGCAGAAATTCTTCCCACCGAGCAGGATCGAGGCAGTTGGTGCGGATGAGCTGTTCCATGGTCTGATTGGTCCGTTCAGTTTGACCGTCGGTTTGAGGGTGGTAGGCGGAGGAGACTTGGAGGCGTGTGCCGTACTGTGCCCATGTCTCCTGCCAGAACTTCGACGTGAATTTGGGGTCGCGGTCGCTGATGATCGCTGAGAGTAGGCCGTGCAGGCGGACAACGGTGGAGATGAAAAGCTTCGCGGTGTCTTCGGCTGTGATTGTTGTACGACAGGGTGCGAAATGTGCCATCTTCGTCAGTCGATCGACGACGACCAGCACGGCGTCGTTGCCCGTGGCTGCTGCCGGGAGCCCTGTGACGAGGTCCATTGTCACATGCTGCCACGGTCGCTGGGGTGGCTTGAGCGGTTGCAGCAGGCCAGCTGGTCGCTGTCGAGAAGACTTCATGCGTTGGCAGATCGGGCACACAGATACGTATCTCTGCACATCAGACGCCGAATCAGGCCAATAATAAAAACGGTGAAGTAACTTCTGGGTTTTGTCAACCCCGAAATGACCGGAGAGGTTAGAATCGTGGACTTCTTGAATAAGTAATTCGCGGAGGAGTCTGTAGGCGGGAACCCAGATACGATCAGTACCGGCTTTGAGGAAGTAGGGTCCCTTGGCTGTGGTGGCTTGTTGGTGGAGGTTGCGGGTGAAAAAGGGGTCGGTGCGGTAGCCGTGGGTAAATAGTCCAGTGAGCAGTGGGTTTGATTTCGCAATGATGACGGAGGCAAGGTGGGCGGACGGTCGTGTCAGTGCGTCGGCGATGTTATTCGCCCCCCGTTTGTACGTGATGGTGTAGTGGAAGTTGCTTTCGAGGAAGTCCAGCCAGCGAATCTGTCGTGGATTGAGGTTCGGCTGCGCGCGGAGGTACTGTAGCGATTTATGGTCTGTCCGTACTGTCATGTCGGCTCCCGTCAGGTAGCATCGCCACACTTTGAATGCGTGTACGATGGCGAGCATTTCTTTGTCGTGGACGGGGTAGTTGCGCTCGGCTGCCTGCAACTTCCGGGACTCATACGCGATGGGTTGGAGTCCGTCGCCGAAATCTTGTAACAGTATCGCTCCAATGGCGAAATCGCTAGCGTCCGTCAAGACTTCGAACGGTCGAGATGGGTCGGCGATTCGGAGGACCGGGGGCGACGTCAGAAAATTTCGCAGTTCATCGAAAGCAGTCTGCTGTCTCTCCCCCCACTCAAACAAAGTGCCCTTCTGCAGCAGGTCAGTTAACGGTCCGGTTATCCCTGCCATATTGGGGATAAACCGTCGGACATAATTAACGAACCCGAGAAAACTCTGCAGCTCCTGTAAATTCGTCGGCGGCTTCCAGTCGCGAATCGTGGTGATTTTCTTCGGGTCGATTTTGATGCCGTCTGCTCCCACGACATGTCCCAAAAATTCCAGTTCGGATTTTAGCAACTCGCACTTAGAGCCCTTCGTGATGAGGCGGTGTTCTTGCAGCCGCTGGAAGACTTGCTCGAGGTCCTTGAGGTGCTGTTCCTGTGTCTTGCTGTAGATAAGGATGTCATCAAGGTAGACGATGACACACTTGTCGAGGAGGTCGCGGAATACGCCATTCATGGTAAGTTGGAAAGTGGAGGGCGCGTTCGTGAGGCCAAACGGCATTACGGTGTACTCGTAGCTGCCATAGCGAGTGCGGAACGCCGTCTTGTGGCAGTCGTCAGCGAAGACTCTGATCTGATGGTAACTGCCGCGCAAGTCGATTTTCGAGAAGAAGCGAGCTCCGCGAAGTTGATCGAGAAGATCGTCGGCGCGTGGGATTGGGTAACGAGACTTTATGGTTCATCGGTTCAGCGCCCTGTAGTCGATGCACATTCGCAGCCCCCCGTCTTTCTTCGGCGTGAACAGGATAGGCGCTGCGAACGGGGACGTGCTGGGCCGGATGAAACCTTTTTCCAAAAGGTAGTCCAGCTGGCTTCGCAACTCCGTGAGTTCGGGCTGAGTCAGCCGCCACTGGGTCCTGACTGTAGGCTGCGCGCCGGGTTCCACATCAATTTTGTGGTCCTGTGGTCGCTCGGGTGGCAACCCTGCTGGCAGGTCATCCGGAAAAATATCCGGGTACTGTCGAATCAGCGCAGCGAGCTCGGCAGGAACATTGGCACAAAGAGTGTCAATGTCCTTTGGCGTGTCGTTGTCTGTCGCTTCGGCCAGGTGGACGGCGTAAAAATCAGCTCCCCTTTTCACTGCGCGCTGGAGGGTGATGGCGTTGACACGTGTCGACACCGGATCCCTTCCACGCCAGCACGGAAGTACGCGCCACCCGTTCGCACAGTTCACGCTGCATTCGCCAGTTGTCCAGTCGATCCTCGGGTTGTATTTTCGCAGCCAATCACGCCCAAGCAGAATGTCGCAGCTGTCCAGCGTCGTGGCCAGCATGGGCATGCTGAACCCGAAGTAGTCGCCACACTTCATCCACACCATGCGCGCTCGTTCTCGAATTGCAAGTGGAGTTTCGTCCACCAGTCGCGCGTCGATTTCGGGAAGACATTTTTCCAACGTCAGCTTCAACTGCTTCGCCGTTGGTACGTGGATGAGACTGTGACTAGCTCCGCCATCCACAAATATTTTTATTTTTTTGCCATTAACCTTGCCTTCAACCAGCACAGGGTGATCTTCAGGTTCGCTCCCGTTATTCGTCCGAGTGCGGTCGATAGCGTGTATCGGTACCACAACTTGGTGGGAACGTTGAAGTTCGGGCGACAAAGCCTCGTCAGTAGGGGGCCCGTCTGCTACTGACTTTTCCCATTTCCCGGCTTCTCCTTGTCGTTCTTCGTCTTCTTGGGCGCCGTTGGGCAGTACTTAGCTCGGTGACCTGGCTTGTCACATCGAAAACATAGCCCGTGAAATATTTCATCGGGCGCTGACACGCCATTGATCGTGGGGCGGGGAGACTGTCCACGAAAACGACCAACATCCCTGTTGTTCTTTCTCGCCCACTGCTGCAGTGCATCGGCTGCTGACGCCAGTTGGACAGCCTCATCGAACGTCTTAGGACGGGACCGCTGCAATTCGTATTGAATGTCGAAATGCAGCCCGATCACGTATTTGTCCCGCCTTTCCGCTTGGCTGAGGTCGTCGACTTGGTCCGCAAGTGCCGAGAAGGACGCAGTGTAATCTTGAACAGTAGTCACCTGCCGCCAGTTGCGCAGCTTCATGCGAGCGTCGTCTGAGGCGGATGAGTGCTCAAAACGAGCTCGCAGAGCTGTGCCCCACTGTTTCCACGTGCGAATTGTGGTCGTACCGAATATCGTCTCTGCCTGTGGGTTTGAAGAGTCCGAAGTCCCATCCTTCGCCTGCTTCACTCTTGCCGGAGTCCCAATCGCCAACTGTCGGCGCCACCAATCCAACGCTGGTCCTCGAAGCAGTGACACAGCATAATTAATGCGTGCGTCGTCCGTGTGTACACTTGCCGCCGTGAAGAACAGCTCCATGCTAAACAACCACCCTTGCACCGTCGTTGCCTTGTCCGAAGGGTTGAACGGGGGCGGTGTTGCTGGCTTGAGTTTTATCTCCGTTACGGTCACAGTGCGCACGTCGTCCTGCTCCAACTCCCGTGCGAGTTCGTCAAGGACGGTTTCGCTCGCTGCGTCGTCGGCACCTTGTTTGACCTCGTCTTCGGCGACTCCCGGCGACTCCTGACGCGCTTCACCACGCGTCTGGCGAAGCTCGGTGTTTTCTGTCCGAAGTCTCACGACTTCACTGTTCAAACTCGCCATCTGGGCTTGCATTGCCTGCATCTGAGCCATGACCTCGTCGAGCTGGGCCTGGGACATGATGCGAATGCTACGCCTTTCGGGCAGGGGGAAGGCCGTGGTAAGAAACCGTAGGGGGCGCAAACTCTATCGTAGTTGTGTGAGCTAATAACTCTAGCTCACGGACAACCGCTTTGCAGCCCCGCAGGGTTAACCACGCCTTGGAAATAAACTACCCTGAGAAAGCGGGGTGAACCAGGAAAGTGGCTCTGATACCAGATGTTATGAATAATAACTGAGAGTGCGCGGAATAATAATGACGAGTACAAGAATGCTAGCCTAGCATTATATAGCGAGAGTTCTAACTAGGCGACGAAGCCGGAAGGCTAGGTTGGGTACAGGCGCGGTCGAAAGGTTCGGAGGCGGCGCGGGCGTGCCTCGGGGTCGCGTCGGAAACGGACCGAGCCTGGTGTTTCGAGAGTTCGGGTGTACGCGATAGCAGTACAACCCGGTAAGGAATAAAATTCCTTACACACAGCGACTCGATTGTCGCTTCGGTTACCATCCGCGCTGTTGTAACGGTCAGTCACAACCTCCAATTGCGACCCTTCAAGTCCCTTCGCGTTCTTTGTCCATCCCTCGAGTAACCTCCGTTGACTCGCGTACCCGTTGTGATCTTCCTCGAGTGTAGTGTTACACTTCAGAAACGCTTAAGTCCTTTGAGATATTTCCAACACTCCCCTTCGTTTCTGGAGTGCTGACGTGTTCAGATCCGGTGACGTTTGTCTGCCCGGTCAGCAGCATGCAGTAATCGAACTTCGCCTTCGCCAGTTTCTTTGTCAGGTAATCTGCGGCCATTTCTGTTGTAGGGCAGTAACTGAGTTGAAGTCTCCCCTTCGCGATTTCATCTTTGACGAAAAAGTACCGCAGGGCAATGTGTTTGGTTCGGTTGGCGAAGCCGTCCTTGTTCGCGATTTTGATCGCAGATTGGTTGTCGCAGAGGAGTGAGAAGACGGGCAGGGTCGCGATCTTCGCTTCCTCGAGCAACTCTCGTAGGTAGAGTCCTTCTTTTGTCGCAGTGCAGAGGGCGATATATTCTGCTTCAGCCGAAGATAGTGCGATTAGTTCCTGCTTGCTTGACTGCCAGGAGATAGTCCCGATAGGTTCTAGTCGGTAGATGTAGCCCGTTCTCGATCGTCAATTTTCCCTGTCTCCCGCGTGGTCGGCGTCGACGTATCCGAGTAGTCGTACGGACGGTGTTGTTACTTTGCTGTAGGTAAGCCCGGTCGTCGGCGTGGAAACGAAGTAGAGTAGTGCCCGATTGAGTTCCTCGAGATCTCCTTGTTACGGCTGCTTCAGATGCGTCGCCAGTTGGCTCGCGCTATAAGAGAGATCGGGTCGGCAGGTTACTGCTGCGAATAGTAGGCAGCCGAGCTTCTGTTGATACTCCTGGATTTGCTTCGCGGGGAGTTTTGCGGAGGTGCTATTGTTGTTCCCGTAGCGGTAGGGAGTTGGGACCGTAGTCGGCGTTAGACCGAATTTCTTCGCGACAGTGCCTGCGTACTTTCCAGCGTGTAGGTAGAACGCCGAGTTGTCTTCGACGACATTCAGTCCCAGGTACTGGGTCACTGCGTCGGACACCGTGAGTGTCAAGTCTTCTTTCAGCTCCCCTTCGAACCAGGTGGCGATGTCGGTAGTGGAGGCGATGTAGAGCAGGTCGTCGACGTAGACGATGAGAAGGATAAAGGCTTCTTCCTTCTGTAGTCGATACATGCCTTGGTCGTGCGGCAGCTGTAGGAAGCCGATTCTGACGAGGCGGCCGTGAAGATGCTGCTGCCACAGCCGCGGAGCTTGTTTGATCGCGTAGAGGGAATTTATCAGCTGGCATACTTTTGTAGGGTCGTCGATGAATCCGTGGGGCTGCTCGACAAAGATCTCGGCGTCCACAGGTGCGTACAGGAAGGCATTTGCGACGTCGATTTGGCGCAGTGGTAGTTTCTTCGTGGCCGCGACGGCGAGTAAGATGCGCTGGGAGGTGTGACGGGAGACTGGGGCAAAAGTTTCTGTGTAGTCGGTTCCGTATCGTTGATCGAAGCCTCGTACGACCCATCGAGCTTTGAATCGTTCGATGGAGCCGTCCGCGTTGGTCTTGATGCGGTACACCCATTTTCCCGAGAGGACGTTCTTCCCGTTGATGCTTGTTGCAGGTACCAGCTTCCATGTATTTCGGTCTTGCAGAGCCTTTAGCTCCTTTTCCATCGCCTCCTTCCATTTCGCCTTATGTTCCCCCCCTAGAGCCTGCGACAGAGTCGAGGGCTCGCGCGGAGATGGCGGCGGAGGATGCTGGACGGAGACCCAGAGGCCGAGGATCTGCAGTCCCGTGGGTGTGTGTCGAGGGGAGTTTTCATTCCCGGAATAGGCTGCTTCGTCACCGTCTTCTAGATCAGGTAAGGAGTTGGGGCCGATGCGTTCTGAAACATTTGTGTCGACCGGGTGGGGTGTAATGTAACCTTGGTCAGCGAAGTGGTAAAAGGTGTCGAGGTTGTTACTATCGAGAGGATTGTCTTCGTCGAGTGGAACAGGTACGGAACAGAAAGGGAGTGGTCCGGCAGCTTCCGAGGCTCCAGGTACGTCTTCTTCTGCTGCGTCAGCCTCGGCAGCACGGTCGGCGAAGGAACGAAGGCCCGCGAAGCCGTCGGTGGGGTCGTGTGTGTTGGCAATGTTGTCCAGGTAATGCTGCAGCGTCAGTCGCTCGTAGAAGATAACATCACGTGATGCCACTGTATTTTTGTCTTGTATGTCGAGGATTTTCCATGCGTGAAAATGTTTTGCGATGCCGAGGTGTAGTCCCCACCGAGCTCGTTGAGTGAAGCGTCCTGCTCGGGCTGTGTGAGGTTTGTACTGTACCATGCAGCCGAAAACTCGAAGTAATTTTGTGCTGCCCCTTTTTTGTGTCCACAGCAGGTGCGGTGATGCGTTGTTGGGAAGCGATGACGAGGACAACAGGTTGTGCAGGTGGACTGCATGTGTCATCGCGTCTGGCCACAGTGTGGTGGGCAGTCTCATCCCCAGGAGCAGCTTTCGCATCGTCGTCTGCAAGGTCCGGTTCATGCGTTCTGCGACCCCCTGCTGCTGGTGAGCGTAGGGCAGAGACACCAGGCGTCTGATTCCTCTTTCCGCCAGATAGGTCCTGAAGCGTTGTGACTGGTATTCTAGTGCACCGTCTGGCTGGAAGCTCTTGAGCTTGGTTCCTGATTCTCGTTCGGCGATGGGTAGCCATGTCGTGAAGGCGTCGAAGGCTTGATCGCGTGTCTTGAGGTTGTAGTGCCATACGTATCTTGTTGCTGCGTCGATAAACGTGATGACATAGTTGAAGTCGGTTTCAGTGTCTTCTCGAGGCATGTTTAAAATGTCGCTGTAGACTTTTTCCATCGGTGCGTATGCAGGTGCGCTTGGGTTGTGATGAGATGGGAAAGACTGGTGGGGAAGATCGGCTTCGGGGCACGTAAAGCACCGTGCGCGTGGTCGTCGAAGTTCTTGGCCGCTCGTTGTTAGGAGAGCGTTGCGTTCTAACACTTCGGCTTGGATGGTTTGCAGTATTGTACTGTTTGCAGGGTGCCCGAGTCGTTGGTGCTAGATGTCGTCGGGAGCGCGATGGCCGGGCGAACGGTGGTATATGTCGGTGTTGGAGAAGAACGCGACGACTGTGGCGGGACTTCGACAGACTTCTCGTGTGATGGGCATAAGTTGATCTGCTTCGGTTGGTGGTCCTCGGATCGCTGGTGGTGGTACTCGGCTGGGTCCTGCTGCTGCTACTGCAGGTGATGGTTGGGAAGGGACACTTGCTGGTACTTGTCTTTCTTGTCTGATGACTGCTAATGCTCGTGTTCTCTCTGCTGCAGGTATGGTGTTGGAGTGCCAGAATCCATCAGGGTCGAAGTCGGGGTCAAGATCCGGCGGGTGTGTCTAGGCGGCGAACGACACGATTCCGTCGCTGTCGGCAGTACCGCGGTCGGGGACGAAGTCCAACACGAAGACGCCGGACTTCAGGAGAGCACGACCGATGAAGAGACCGCCCTTCCCATGGTAAAGGCGAAACTCGTTGGAGTAGGAGTCGCACTCCAGGTGAATCCCTTTTGCCATTAGCTGGCTGACGCTTAGTAAGTTGTATCCCAAGTTGTCGACGATGAGGACCTTGTTGAGTTGAAGTATAACGTTTGTCTCCATGGATTGTAATTGAACCACTCCTTGTCTGTTTATTTTCAGGTTCTCGTTGTTGGCGACGGTGATGATGACGTCGCGGTTGAGGCGTCGCTCTCGTTGCACGAAGCGTCCGGAAGAACACATGTGTTGACCGCAGCAGCTGTCCAAGAACCAGGTGTTTCGCCCGGTGGGTTCGGCGTTGGCGACCGCAGCGTATGTCGGGTTGACTTGAAGTCCTTGTGAGCGCGGCGGCGGAAGTTCTTCTTCGTCTGGTGCGTAAGTGGGTGGTGATCCGGGTGCGCAGTTGTCGATGTGTACCATGCAGTTAATGATGTTTGGTGTCCCTTGTGCAGATGTGGAAGAGCGCCTTGGAGGGCTTTCTTGAGTGGAGGCGACGTGTGGGTCTACTGGACGATAAACACGAGGACGTGTGCAGTTGACTTTGGAATGTCCGGAAGTCTGACAGTTGTGGCAGAACGGCGGCACGAAGGTGAGTCCTCTGTTGTCGCGTTGATCTTGCTTGCCGCGTCGATTGTAGTTGTTGTCGTTCCTTCGTTGAGTGTAGAAAACTAACTGCTGCTGCTTCCTTGGTTGTCGTTCTTCGAACAGGTCCATCTCCTGTTGTTCAGCGTGAAGCTCGGCGCAGAGGTGCATCTCCGAGATTCTTCCGTGGGCGCGAAGAAGCGAGCGTGTGGTTCTCCATTCTGGTCCGAGCCCGGCGAGGACAAGCGTCACGAAGCTTTCCTCAGTGATTGTTCCTCCGCACCGAAGCAGGCGGTCGCGGAGGGTCTGGCAGCGACTCATATACTGCATCGCCTTTTCCCCGGTCTTCATCTGTATTGTTGTCAGTTGTTGCATGAGTCTGCTTTGTGTCACGCTGTCGTTTGCTTCATAGAGACACTTGAGATGATGCCATGCGAGTTCCGCGGAGTTTCCATAGCTCCGATATGTTCTGATGCTCTGCTGTTCTTGTGGTGACAGGTTCCGCAGGAGAACTGTGTACGCCAGCAGCGACTGATAAGTAAATATTTCTTGCTCCTTTGCAGTGCCGTTGCTTGGGAATGGCAGGGACCCGTTGAAGTATCCCAGGAGATGCGCAGCCTCCATCAGCAGCTCGAACTCAAAACTCCAGGTAAAGAAATCGTGTCCGTTGAATGGTGATGATGTCTGCAGTTTAATCACGTGTTAAAACTGCGCATGGAGACTTAAAATCTCGTTTGGTGTTTGTTGTGATGCAGCTGCTGTTGGTTGGGCACGGGGCGGCATGAACTCGAACGTCCCCGGTGAAGAGTGATAAGGCGCAAAGGTAGGCGCTTGATTGTGTCGCCCGAACGATGAATTGTCGAGGCTCATCGGCGCTAATCCCATGTTTCCTCCGTTGCTCTGTGTTGAATGCGCAGGTGTCCTTGTCTGCTGCTGCTGGTCGAAGTGCGACATGAAGCTGAAGAACCTTTCCATAAGGTTCGGATGCACGCTTGAAGAGGGTGATGGGGTCACCATTTCCGGTGCTCTTCCTGTTGTTTCTTGAGCAGCGCCGGTCTCGGTTTGCAGTCCTGAAGTATGCAATCCAGAGTTGCCGGGCTGAATGTCTTGGGCGCTGGGTGAGCCCGTAGAGGTCTTCTTGCCCTTGCTGTCCATGGCTTGTAATTAATGAAGTCGTTGAATTGCAGATTGTACATAGAGTGTCGTTGCTGGGAGTTTGGTCTCTGACCAGCTCTCATACCATGTTGGGCGGAGAAAAGCCCTTTGGATCTTTCCAGAGACTAAGTCCCAGTTGTAGAATGAGACTTGAGTAGTGCAGCGGAAGTTGAGCAGTTGAGCCCTTGTACTCGTATATGAGAACAAGTGATTGATTAAAGAGACAAGCATACAGCAATATATAGAAAAATAGGAAAGTAAAGCAGTTGTAGAATACAGTTGCAGGAGCGGTTATCGAGTCGCACAGCGACTCGATTGTCGCTTCGGTTACCATCCGCGCTGTTGTAACGGTCAGTCACAACCTCCAGTTGCGACCCTTCATGTCCCTTCGCGTTCTTTGTCCATCCCTCGAGTAACCTCCGTTGACTCGCGTACCCGTTGTGATCTTCCTCGAGTGTAGTGTTACACTTCAGAAACGCTGAAGTCCTTTGAGATATTTCCAACAGTAAACTAGCCTCAACTGAAGACTCCGGTTACAACTTGGGCCAGATACAACCACAGCTGTTGTCATTACACGGCATCACATGACAATACATACCATCCCATACCATCGCATCGCATTGCATCGCATCACATGCTGCTCTGTCCGTGTGGCAGTTTGAGGTAGGGCACAACATGCTTCTCTACGATGGAGCGCGTGAGCCAGAGGTGGTTTCCAGGCACCGATATGAAGTCCACTCGCCCCGCCTCCACCAGCCACCGCATCCCCACCCAGTCCTCCTTGTACAGAGCGGTCTGCCATGGCAGCAGAGGTGTGCGAGGGGGAGGACAGCAGAAGGGGGGGGAAGGAGAATCAGCTCGGAAAGCCTCCATGAGCCACTGCATCCCCACCCATTCCTCCTTGTGCAGCGCAGTCTGCCATGGGGTGAGGAACGCAGGGGGTAACTGCAGCGGTCGAAATTGGAAGGGTAACATAGGAAGTCATTATATGGGCAGCAGAGGACGGGATTGGAAGGGCAGCATAGGAAGAGATTGGAAGGGCAGAAGAGGAAGAAGACATGGGAGTAGTTGACCCTTCGAAATTGGATGAGCAATGGTGTTGAAACAAACGGTACAGGATGAGCTCAGAAGAGGAGCAGAGCAGGGAGAGGCACGCCGACCTCATTGATGGGAAGAATGGTGTTGAAGTCATTGGGCGCGAAGAAGCCAAAGTGGGCAGTCTCTGGTGGGAAGAGCACAGTGTCGCCCGTGAACTGATGGGGGGGGTAGAGCAGCAGCGGAGCAGCGAGAGAGGAAGGGAGACACTGAGAGAGAACAGCAGTAGTCGGTGGGGTGGTGAAAGGATAACAAGGTATGAGCGGAGTGCAGTGGGCGATTACTCAAGAAGCACCGAGAGGACTCTGGTCGGATGAGTATAGTGTCCCCTGTGAACTGATGGGGGGAGCAGAGCAGCAGTGGAATATTGCAGGTCGGTAGGAGAAGGCAAAGGGCAGCACAGGGAGTAAACCAGCAGCACACGATGGCGAGAGGAGCAATGTAGGAGCGGAGTGACGTGTGCGAATATTCGGAAAGCACGCGTGCCAAAGGAGGTGTCTGTGGAGAGCACCAGGAGTGGGAGGAGCAGAGTAGCTTTTGAGTCAGCTCAGAAGCCAAAAAGGGAGGTCTGTGGACAGCACAGTCGCCCCTGTGCACTGACGGAGGGATGGATGATAAATCGCTGAAAGGGCGCAAGCTGGTGCTCACAAGATGGCAGCACGGAAAGAGTTGAGAGGACTGGGTGCAGTGCGAAGGCATGCGGTGTGAAAGCATGCAGTGTGAAAGCGTGCAGTGTGAAGGCATGCAGTGTGAAAGCATGCAGTGTGAAGGCATGCACGCACGCAGGTGGTGAGCGGCAGTGACTGTCCGTCCAGTACTACGTGCTGCGGTGGATACACACAGACGTGGGTGCACCTTTATAAGCGCCCCACCTTACAACTGCCCCATCTCATAATAACCGCCCACCTTTATAAGCGCCACACGGTGCACGGTGCGCATGCGAGTTGCGTAGGTGGCATTGCGGCAAGAGGCCAGCTCGTTGTTGACCCGCGGCAGGTACTTGCAGCCCGCCAGGTACCCTGAGATGTCCTGCAGAGGGGGTGGGGGTGGGTGGGGGGGGGGGGGGGGGGAGAAGAGAGGTGTGATGTGATGCAGTGGAGTTGATTGCCCTGAATGAGGTGTCAAATCAAAGGTGCGTTTCGTTTTTGACCCGTCGATAGACGGAGACGAAGCCACAGTAGAACGGAGCAGGCGTCTCGTTGTTGACCCGGGACAGGTACTTGCAGCCTGCTAAGTGCTCTGAGATGTCCTGGGAGGAAGGGAGAGGTGTGATGTCATGGAGAGAGGCATGTAGTGTGATGGACGACGCATGCATGGTGTGATGGACGACGCATGCATGGTGTGATGGAGGAGGTATGCATGGTGTGATGGAGGAGGCATGCATGGTGTGATGGACGAGCCATGTATTTTGAGGCATGGCGTAGCGAGGCACTGGCAAGACAGCGCCACGTTCTAAGCCGAGGCAGCATGAACATGCTAACTTGGAGGCATCAAAACGAACATACCGTGGGAATCTTGACATAGCCGGATGGCGCAACCAGGTTCTGCGTGACCAGTAGTGAGAGGAGCGGGTGCAAGCATGGAGGGAACGAGGTTATAGGTGAGGAAGGGGCGTGCAGAGAGGGGGCATGATGGAGTGGAGAGAATGCCACAAAGGGAAGGAGGGCAGTATGGGCCATATTGTGAGTGCATTCATGTATGTATGTATGTATGTATGTATGTATGTATGTATGTATGTATGTATGTATGTATGTATGTATGTATGTATGTATGTATGTATGTATGTATGTATGTATGTATGTATGTATGTATGTATGTATGTATGTATGTATGTATGTATGTATGTATGTATGTATGTATGTATGTATGTATGTATGTATGTATGTATGTATGTATGCATGTATGTATGTATTTATGCATGTATGATTGAGTGTGTGAATGCATGCGAGGAAGAGCGCGGGCGAGAGAAAGAGAGCGAGAGACGCGGGAGACCAGCGAGCATGGAAAGAGGGATGGGGGGCATGAGAGTAACATGCTTAAGAGCGAACCTTTGGGAAGAAGAGAGCACGTTTGCATAGCATGTCTAGTGATAGTGATGCTAGGAGTGATGGCACGGAGGGTGGGGTGAAGATGGGCAGTGGAATGGCCGAATGGCTGGATGGCAAGGCCAGGATGAGCACTGTTATGGCACGGCAGGTGCACACAGGGGCGAGCAGGGGTGCACAGGGGCGCGCAGGGGGGAGCAGGGACGAACAGCGGTGAGCAGAGGCGAGCAGGGGTGAGCAGAGGCGCACAGGGGCGATCATGGGCGAGCAGGGGGCGGTTACCTGCACGATGTCAGAGTAGATGCCGAACTGCAGCACGGAGTCAATGAGCCGACACACCGAGTGCAGCTGCCAAGACAGGGGCGCCGCAGCACGGGGGGGGCAGCATGGGGGGAGCAATGTGGGGGAGGAATAACAGAGAGAAGGTGGGAGGGAGGAGCCAGAGTGGGGGGGAGGGAGGGGGGGAGAGAGAGGGAAGTGAGGGTAGTAGGGGGTTGGTGACAGAACGGAAAATGCATGAAGACAAAGGAGAAATACAAAGGGCAATGGAGTGATGGCACGTGAGGAGAACGAATAGGGCAGGCGGGAGACAGGGGCCGTGGGTGGGGGGAGGGAGGGGTTGGGGGAGGTGTGGTGTGTGGTGGCGGGGGTGGGGGGGGGGAGAAGGGGAGGGAGGGAGGGCAGGGAGATAGTGGAAGGGGGAGTCGGGTGGAAGATGTGTAGAAGAGTAGCAAAGACGGTATATGGGGACCACTGGAGAGAGAGAGAAAGCGCGCTCACCACACACTGCGGCGTTGAGGCAACTCCGGCCTGCGGCCCTCCGATAGACACAAAAGAATGCACCTGGTGCAATCGTGGTGGTGGTGGTGGTGGTGGCAGCCAGAACAAGGCAGCAGCCATGGGATGCATTCCGGTGATGGGGAAGGGAGGAGTGGGTGGATACACATACACCCCATGGAAGCAAGAGCAGCGAGCTGGAAGTTAAGGCGATGCTTGTGTTGAGAGAGAGCGAGGCAGAAGCTTGAGAAAATACAATTACTGTAATAGCGACAACTCTGATTTTCCAGAATTCGAGAAAAGCAGCTACACTCCCTGAGGTGGAGGATGGAAGCTTACGGAAGCATCTAAGAAATGGCAACTCACAGGAGGCAGGCCGTCGCATGACTGGATGAGCATTCGAGCAATCAGACCTCCCTGCACAATGAAAGAAGAAATCGTTGTAATTGCACGTGCAGCAGCAAACACGGACAGGGCAGGGCAGGGAGAAACAGCATGCGTGAAAAGCTTCTGCTTCAAATGGAACAAAACGAAGGCAGGGGATTGAGGGTCTGGGTGAGCAGGGTGACCACCAAATGGATGCCATGGCTATGGGCATAGCATAGTGGGCATTTTGAAACCAAGAAGAGCGAATGGCAGGGGTGTTGGGAGAGGCAGGAGAGGGGGATGTGACGTCTCTGTGCGTCTTGCCTGAGAGAGGCCGACAAGGTTGAAACCCCCTGCCAGCTGCGGCATGGCCAGCAGCTGCAAAGGGGGAGGGCGGATGGACACGGCCAACAGAAGTGAGCAGAAGGCAGAGAACGTTTTAAGGGCGACGCAAGCAAGCAAGCAGAGCTTGTGCTTTGGAATTTGCGAGTCGACGTGTTCCGCACAACGGCTGCAAGCCAGAGAACGCACGGATGCTTTTTTTCGGCGCCTTAGAAGGCACTGAGCGTGGCGATGCACCCACCCAGGTGCAGACACAGGTTCATAGGGCTCAGGGGAGAGCACCACGGGAAAGACAAAGAAACAGAAACTTAACCCAGGCTAGGAAAAAACGTCTGCTAGTCGGGCTGCACAAAGAACAGCAATCCAAGAGGCTGACTGACGAGCAACGACCACCTCTCACCTTGCTGCATGCCTGCTCTGTCTGCCTGTCCAGCCGCATCAGCCAGCTGTCGCTCGCTCCTCGCCCCACCTCCCTGCAGCACAAGCACAAGGCAGACCCACCAAAGCGTGAGGCAGGACCGAGGCCATGCTTGCGGTTTAGGTCAACGTAAAGTTGGAATCAAAACACCCAAACGAGTGGGTGAGGCAAGACTGCTTCACGTGCATGCACATACCTACACACAGCACAGGCACATAGCAAAGGCACACAGCAAAGGCACACAGCAAAGGCACACAGCAAAGGCATACAACACAGGAGTACAGCACAGGCACACATCACAGGCACAACACAGGACATGGTGCACTGGGGCGGGGATAACCGCAGACGGTTTCAATCACAGGAGGCCATGCTTCCCACAGAGGTCCCACAGGGCCCATGCCACGCAGTGCTCTTTTTCATGCCATGCCGTGCTCGTCGTCTTCCAGAGAGATGGAACTCAAGCACCCATCTGCATGCCTTGACGATGCCTTTTCCAACGCGAGGAGGCGCTCACAG